GCATCGTGATGGCTCCAGTCATAACACGATCAAAATTATTACTTCAGTTCTTAATAGCAGAGCATCATCAGATGTATATTGATTTAACGGGGAATAATTTAACTCCAAAATTTCATCACTTATTGCATTATCCAAACGCAATTAATCAGTTAGGCCCACTCAGAAATTACTGGTGTATGAGATTCGAAGCCAAGCACAGATTTGCTAAAACGGTTGGTAAAAACTCGTGCAACTTCAAGAATATTTCCAAAAGTGTCGCAAGGCGAATGTCCCTAAATATGGCGTTTTCACTTGGTTCCATTAACATTGAGCCAAAAGTTCAACTTAGTATTGGACCCGGCAATACATTTGACATTAGGGACATCAAAGATGATGTAGATTTTTCCACCATATCGTCAGCTCAGTGTAATAAAATATTTTGCCTTGATTTTGTTCAAATAAATGGTACAAAGATTTCTCCACTAAACTATTTTCTTATTGGAAGTTCTGAGTCGGGGCTGCAATTTTGTCAGGTGATTTTGTGTTTTGTTCATGATGAGAGTGTAAAATTAGCCGTTGCTCGTATTCAATATGTTGAAAAATTTCAATATTCATACATTTTCAAAGTAGGAAAAAAAGACAAGGCTGAAATACTTGACCCCTTACAACTTGACCTTCAAAATCCATTGGTAGTGGTAAGGTCGTTCGATGAGTGTGATTCGGTGGATAATATTTGTTGTCCTATTGAGTTAATTTAGTTATAAGCTTATAATAATAATTCCCTTCTTTATCGTGATACTCTCAATAATTAATTATATAGCGAACCAATTCGAAATCTGTGACGTCCAGCGTGCAACAGATTTCCGACGGTGACCAGTCAAGCCAGGAGGATAATATTGTTCAGTACTTAGTGGTTCGTAAATTTGTTAACATAACTTTATTTGTTTGGTTAAGTGCTAACTGTTTAAAAATATTAATGACTTCTAGGTAACTCCGCCCACCGCTACGCCACCTCGCCAAGAGGAAAACATATTTGTGGATGAATTACAAAATATTCCGGTTTCTCCAGATTGCAACGTCGCGGATCCCTTATTTGTAAGTTTAGTTGTAAGATATAATCTATCCTTTTTAATGAAATTATTTCTGTCAAGCAGGACGTTAAGCGGATTATTCTTACATCTGACGCTGATAAAGGAACAACCAAAGGAAGGAAACTTTTAGATGATTGCGTTGAAACAAATGTGATCAACTTTGCCCTTAAAAATCTGATAAAACGACGGACCGTGAATCATCTTGTTAAGCAATACTCATATTAGTAATTAATACTTAATTATCATTCACAAAACTATGCGTTACCTTATATGTTTTACAAAGTAATAAGTTCTACTAATTTTTGATTAATTTTAGCCCGCCTAAGTACGTGAAAGAAAATTTGGCCCAATGCATTGCAGTTCAATTGTTTCCTTCGCTCCCAGACTCTCAAAAATTGGATATAATTGTAAGAAAAATGTCAACACTTTAAAATATTTAAAATATTTTCCACTGAATTCAGATTTTTTGCTTCAATTTCAGAATTTATTCTACAGTGAGTCGAAGTTATCAAACTCCAAGAGAGAAGGCTCAGATGGAATTATTTACAGAAGAATTCCAGCATCCGGTTTGATTGAGGACAGATTGAAATATATTCGTCGAAAGAATGAAGTGAAGTGTCGAGTCCAACCGCCTAATGTGGAATCGTGCCAAGTTTTGGGTAGGCATATTATGCATGACAATTATTTAAAATTCCGGGAAAAATTACTAATTTTGTGAATTTATCAGATCCAACTGTAGACGAAGAGGAGAAAAAGTCTTGGCTTCTCAACTCTACCGTCCCCATATCTCAGGTCACTAAATACATGTCTGAGACCTACTGCTTGAGAACATCCCAATTCAGGAACACGAATAATTTAGCGGAAATGTTGGACCAATGGCCAAGGCTTCTCGACACTCCAGGAATGGTAACGTCACAACTTTCTAAGCGGACTAAATTTAAATTTGATAAAAACTATCGAACACCTTATAACTTTATGCAAAGATTGAGCTGGACTTCAAGACTTTATTTCCTGGCAAATGTGATAAGATGCTTCTGAAGTGGGCAGCAGTTTCAGTACAAATCTGCAGTTACGCCGAGAAAATCAAAACCAACTTGGACGAAATCGGCATAAAAAAACCTTTGTCGAATTGGTCTAAAGGTTAGAAATTAATAATTAAGAAATATAAAGTTAATCATCTAATTTTAGTTGTGAATTTGAGATTTGTAAATGTTTTTAATATTGACTTATTTACACGAAGATGACAAGACGGTTGGGGCGCTTGTGTTATTGCCATATTTGACTGCTAGCTCAGCCTATTCAAAGAAATCCAAAAAGAGGAAGAAAATAACATCGGGAGAGTCAGCTGAATTTTTCATACAAGTTGTACCGGTTAGCTAATTTATTTTATTGATTTGTTAGGTAATAATAATTGGTAATTCAACGGTGTTATGTTTATTTAGGTAACACATGACATTGAAAATTTTAGGACAATTGAGTCAAGACGAAAACAACCCTTTGTTCTGTGTGTCGGAGAATTGGGATCCCTTATAATACATGACTCCTACGTTATGGTGGAGAGGAAACTTGTGAAAGCGTCGTCGCTAATTAATGCTGTGGATATCTGTTTCAAAATGTTTCATGTGCTTCAACTTCAATTCCCTGATGAATGTTACCCAGTCTGGTGCTTCTTCGATCACTCGATTTATCAAACTAAAGAAATTCGTTCACCCCCCTCGGCAGTTCTTTCACTTGGATCTCAAATAACTATAGATTAAGTTTATTAATATGCAACTACCTGACTTATAAATTAAGTACTAATCATGTTCTAGTTGTTAAACTTGGTACAAAATAATTATGTAATAATTTTAAAATATGACTTATATGAATAAAAACAATACTTTTTATTAAAGGTAAACAACATCATCTCTGAAATAATTATTAAATTCCAACCATTTATTGTGCACAATTTATCAAATTGTTGGAAAAAAATTACTCAATAATTGATCAGAATTTACCAAATAATTCAGCAAAATTCACTTAATAAAAGTGAAATTTTACTCAACTAATGTATAAAATCTTGTCAACCCACATTTTCGTATCGCGATTTAGTTGGGTTAATTTTACTCAACTTTTGATCAATTGGATTACTCAACCCCTGAGTGAAATTTTTACACAACAGTTGTGTCATCTCATTTCGGCCTCAACAGTTGGGTAAAATGTGATCAAACTTGGGTAAATTTTAATCAAATTTATTTAGCGTGTACTACATATACGAGGGGGGGGACAGAAATTAATTGGCCTCGCCATGATCCGGTAATAAATTTGGGGTACTTGCCTTACTACTTTTAAGTGTAGTCCCCTGCGAGGTCAGCACACTTGGTCCGCTAAATTTAAAATACTCTATCCCAATTTTATAAATGGTTCTCGAAAAAAGGTAAAAAACGCTGTTTTCACCTTATCAATCGTCGAAATCTCCTACCCGAGGTTTTTCTTGAAAATGTCGAAATATGTATTAGTCACCAGATGTCAGGTGTGGACTGTAAGGGGGATGACATAATTTTGACATTTTTTGGCTTAAAATGGCACCCTTCGAAAATTTTGATTTTTTACTGAAAATTCGTCATGAGCGTTTTCGTGAGCAAAATGATTTTTGTTTTGGTCTTTTCTCTCCAATGGCTTGGCTTAATTTTTCAAAATTGCGGTATAACAGGCACCAGGTCTCGCCCTTTTCGGAGCCGAAGCGTCCAGAAGCAGAAGTCCTTCTGAGTCCCAAAACCAGTGGCTAAAGCCATCATAGCAATTTCTGTTTCCGGTTTACTCCTTTTTGGGTAGGTGCTTCCGCTGCTTGTTGTTTTGTCAAATTTCAACGTCATAACAATGTACCTGGGTTCATTACCCAGTGATTAAATGCAAAAAGCAGTACTCCTTTCCTTTTTGAAGGTCTAAATCTATGTATCAAACCTGGGCTCAATTTTTGCAATTTTTATTGTTTCGCTGTTTTTGGTCACATCTGACGGTCTCTTCGACTCGGCCGTGATCGTGAATTTAAGCTATGAGATCTGAGATACATATGAGTGTATCTTTCGATCCAACAAAAAAAGTTGGGCAAAATGACCCTCCTTCTAGGCGAGGCCGGTTAATTTCTGACCCCCCTTCGTATGAACTTGTAAAGTTAAGTATTTGATATCATACAATTGTGTATACATATATATACATTATATCTACTGATAACTTTCCCGATGGAAAATAAAAATTCGCAAATTTTACATTTCTGGAATTGTTTCGCATCGGTTTTTCTTGGATGTGCATATGTACATAGGTACAATATATCTATGTACATGCATGCATATATTTTCCACCAACTAAAAATTTTGGTTCCCATTTAAACATGTCATCATACAGTACTTATTTATGCAAACGAGTGCTTTATTTATCCATGAAACTGGACAATTATAAGGAACAACAAAATAGCATTATTTAGTATGTACATATCTAGTTTTGGGTGACATTGAACATGAAAATTAATTCATTTTTCCTAAACCACAACCATGTCAGTAGGGAAAAAATCACCGCAGGAATACCGGTTTTTGATCGTAAACACAACTAGAAAACATGCACACGACTAGCGCATTCCATGGTACAAAAGTGGCATGCAAAAATAATGTGATTAATTTTGCAAATTTTTGGAGTACATTTTCTTATAAAACTTAAACTCAACGTAACGTCAAAATATTTTCCAGACTTTGCATAATATGCAAAGATAAATAGATATTATCTATTTATGTAAAGACCGCATAAATTACTAACGGAATAGGCGCACGGCCCCAGATTTCTTGGAAACTTGATATAAAAATTATTATGCATATTAAAACGGGCTGGATCGATCAGCCCCACAAAAAAATGCCTTGAGCACATTTACACAGATTCACTAACTTTTATCCTGTCCTATCGATAAGTAAACATGCACATACATATGTACATGCATATACATATTACATTAATTGTGCAAGTGTCAAGTTCAAGTTCATATTTTAATTGACAATTTCCTGTCGAATTACATAAACAACAATCTTGCAGTTTTAGATTGTTTGAACCTACGCACGTTTCTTTTCCACAATGCTAAATATAAATCCGCTTTTATATTGGCAATTGGTTTCTTTAAAGTCAGAGAGTACTTAATTCAATTTAGCAAGTGTTTGGAATTTGCAATACATAATGGAGGAGATTACACCAATTCCAGAATGGCACACTCCAGTCACAGAAACTATGAAAATTGTGATTCTTATTGTTTGCATATTGGGAATTTTTACAAACTTCCTCTGCCTCTGTGTTCTCTTAAGGAAAAGGATGAAATCCTCGTTTAATACGATTCTCCTCGGACTCACGATTTTTGACTTGCTCCTCCTCTCAAAAGGGGTGTTCACGTCACTTAACCAGTTAACTGTGAGTACACAATTTTCTATTTAACAAATTTTATTAGCAACTCAATAAAAATTTCCTTTAAAGTATTTAGAAAATCATCATGCAAATAAAATATCAACAAATAAATCAAAAAACACAAAAACACCAAAGTCAAAATGTTGTAAATACATACATTTTGACACATCTCGGATGAAATTAACGTATTGATGCATGCATAAAAGTTCTTAAATAGGGTCGATGCGGGTTAGTGTGGCCACTTTTTTCTAAGTTTGCGTTCATCAATGAAACAAAAATGGTTTCGAGTCAAAAATACTTATGTAAAACATCAAGTATTATTAATTAACTATTTCGCTTTCATTTATGACCAAAAAAAGTTTTAAAATATAATTGGAGGTAATTTTTATCAATTATTCAAAATAAAAAAATAGTGTCCACACTAACCCCACCAAATGGGGTTAGTGTGGCCAGGGGAAGGGTTAGTGTGGACATGCATATATTTTAATGCACACATGATTCGCATTAAAATGCTTTTCGAATTTAAAGACATCAAGCCATGTGGTATGTCACCCAGTTCGATTAGAAGATTTCCACCACACCTACACCCCTGGGGGTGTGGTTTCCAAATTTTAGTTATTCAGCCGAAATCTTCATTGCTGAGAGAAATGACGTTTGCACCACATCGCTCGGTGCTTTAAACTCTAAGAGTGGCTGAAAACCACACCCACTGGGGGTATGGTTTCAGAATTTTAATTTTTATGTCGAAATTCATTCACCGGGATAAAAAAAGATTATGTATCCCGCGACATTATTTCGTTAAAGCCAAAAAGGCGCTGATAACCACACCCACTGGGGGTGTGGTTGCCAAACTTTATTATTCGTTTATGATTCGCTCATATGTAGAGCTGAGGATGAGACAAACAACATATGACATCAGTAGGTTTTGTTAGTATGAAAAAGGCACAAATTCTGCAAAACACACCCACTCGGGGGTGTGGTTTCTAAATTTTAATTATTTGATAGGGCACCCCTACTCAATCTGACGAGAATGATATGTCACAAACAATACTTTGGGTAAAATCTTAATTCAACACTAACTTTTCACTACTGGCCACACTTACCCCTCAAATCTTAATATTGGAGGGTTAGTGTGGACACCAATTTTGTAATTGACCGGGCAGCTACTTTATTTAAAAATTAATGTACAAATATAATATGGGCGAATATTATATTGAGAAAAATTAAACATAATGCTTGCCGTACTTAGTGTCCATGAAATCCTTTTCTAAACATCACCTGATCAAATTGATCCGAAAAGGTTTTTAATTATGAAATTTTGAGCGCGCTAATTTTGTGAGATAATTAATTTTCCCAGTTCTCCAAATTTATAATTAAGAACAAGAAGGAGTTGTAGTTTGATGTGAAATTTTTTGTTTTTGAAAAATTCATGGTTTTATCATAGAAATATCGTTTGGCCACAATTGCCTCGTGGCCACACTAACCCGCATCGACCCTACTCTTAAAAATTGCATGAAATTTTGATCAACCTGAACCCCAGATTTGCAACATATTTCGCCCAATTATAAGATATTTGAGGGAATGGAATCACTGTTTTATACGATGACAAATTTTTTACCACTTTCAGAACTACACGTGGCCCTTAAACCAAACCGTTTGGGCACCACGAGCCCTCTTTTTCCTGTCCTGGCTGTGCGATTCTGGGACAAAGTACTTCACCGTGGGCGTGTCCCTTGAGCGATATGTCGCCATCTGCCACCCCCTCCGGGCCAGAAGCCTTCTTACCAACAAAACATCCCGAATCTTTGCGGCCGCGCTCTCCCTCTACGTGCTCGCCCTGTCCGCGACCAACTTCTATTTGAGATTTTATTCGAACGGATTGCTAACCGAGAAAGAAATGAACATTGTCAAAGCCGTGTTTCTCAACTTTGGACCGTTCATTGCCATTTGTTTGTTAAATGTCGCTATTTATGCGAGGGTAAGGAAAATCTTAATATTACTTATTACCAGGGTTGGGCAAAATACATGGGTTTCAAAATACAAAATACAAAATGAAAATACATTATTGTGAACCTTCAAAATACAATTACAAAATACAAAATACCCGAATCTCATCAAAATACAAAATACAAAATACTTTTGCCCAAAATCGACGAAACTTCAAAATACAAAATACAAAATACGTATTTAAAATACATTTGAAAATACAAAATACTACTGCCATATTTAACCCTGAAAAATGCAATTCAAGCTCAAATTTCAAAAGTTTTGCTAACTGATTTCATTTCACAGCGTTATTTGGAATTTAGTAATTATGTTACTGGGCATGTGTGATGTCATTTGAATTTCATTCTATATGAAATTAATTATATACGAAAAAATTATATATGAAGAAGCCCGCAAATAATTTCAATCTATCTAATTTTAATCTTTCTCACACTACAAAAAACTACTCAAACTACTTTATCGTACGACATAGCGTCGACAATGAAGTAAAAATATAGAAGTTTTAATTACGATCTTAATAGTTGATAAAAATTTTAAAATGAAAATTAATCACCCGCATATGTAAATATAAAATATTTTGTGTAGTTTTCTGGCACAGCCAGAGTCCAGGGAGTCCAGAAACTGAAAATAACCGATGAGGAATGGTAGCAATAGATATATTGCATGGACCAACTCTTGTTCTTCTCATGAGTTCGTCTCATATTTCTCAAATGTATTTTGTAAAGTATTTTTCTATTTAAAATACATTGACCGACTTGAAAAATTAGAAAATACAAAATACAAAATACAAAATACAAAATAATTTCATCTGAACCATGGCCCTCAAAATACAAAATAGTATTTTGTATTTTGTAATTTGTATTTTGTATTTCAAATAGTATTTTGGCCAACCCTGCTTATTACTGCCACGTATGTATATACATAATCTGTTAGAAATCCGGAATATTCACGCATTTTCTGGCATAGTTAGTTTTCTGGACATATATTTGCGAAATTTACATATTTTTTGCGAGATTTGCAAAAAAAACTTTACTACAAAACATTTTACAAAACAAAAAGAAGCTATTGATCTGAGCAAGTTCGCAAAAAATTGGAAGCAAATTTTCAGTAGAAATATTTGTAAAGTTTTGTGCAAATTTATAAGTTTACAAGATTTACGGATTTTACAATGTTATCAAGGCCTGTGTGAATTAGCCCAATATGTACATATGTACGTATATTGTGCTGTTGTTTTCACGTCTTTATTTGTATTTCACAAATTTTGAGCATATGTATGTACATAACTTTACACGTCAATTTTCTTCTTCTTACAAATCTTGCAGCTACAAAAATCCAAGAAACTTCGAAAATCATCCGAACCCACCAAGTCACCCCCGATGTCATCCGCCGTGACGAGGATGCTTCTCACGGTCGTGGTCGTGTTCGGATTCTGTTACAGTTTTGAATGTACGCGAAGAATTATCGGCTACTTCATCCCCCTGGATTTGGACCACAACAATTTCCACTTTTTCCTCAACCTGCTCGCCGATTTCTTTTACGTGGTCAACTCTTCCGTCAACTTTTTAATTTATTACCTTCTCGGTAAAAAATTCCGGGCCGAATTCCTCACAGTATTTGCATGTTCCCTGCCCCACAAGAAGGGGGGCATCATGGAAAACGGAAAACAAGTCAAAACGGCCCAAGCAACATCTTCAACGGGAGACACAACATCTACCGACGCCTCAACGAATACGAATATGGTCCTGCAATAAGTTGCAAAAATATTTTGCAATTACGCGATTTTATTAAACTTAATTAATTTATAAGTTATTATGCTTTCATTAATTTTAACTACATATACATTTAAATAATTTTAGTATCTTTTGTCATTAAATTTCTTCAATATGCTAACACGCTTTTATAAATATTTCAGAGGTGGGCAAGATCATCATCTCAGATAGCAGATCAAGATCAAGATCATCTTGATCTTTGATCTTCGGCTAGAGCTTTTGATCTTGATCTTGATCTTGATCTAGCTCGGTAAGATTTCCTATCTTGATCTTGCTCTTCAAGTTCAAGATCAAATCCCAAATATGAAAAGTAGAATTTTGAAACATCGATATATTTTTTTTAAAATAGCGCCTTGGTCCATTACTCAAAGTACATTCAAGGAAACGAAAAACACTCGTACGGGATTTAATTTTTTTTACTGATTAATGGAACCAGTTCTTCAAACGGCGATCTATTTCTTAAATGCCAATATTGTTAGCCCGCCAACAAATTAGGTCAATTTTTGACGACCTGATACTTCAACTATTACTTTAATTGACCAAGAAATGAAGTATAAGGGCAACTTAAAACATCAGAGCAAATGTTTTGTTATGTATTGTATAACTATACCAAATTATTTATAACAACGTTGACGCTGTCAGCTATTAATAACTAAAATTGGTCACACAACCAATTTTCGTTACTTGGCTTATTCCATGCGTGGCTATCAATTTGAGAAAAGTCATGGGAAGATGAGACGACACATATCACCCCAAACAAAGTGGTGGTGGTGGTCAAAAAGAGAGCGGCATGAGAAGTGCCGTACGTTCTCCCCAATCAATTCAAAGCTCGAGTCAGAAAGAGAGAAAATATGTGTTGTATGGTGTCGTGCATATGCCACTGAGATTGGGAACATTCGCAGTATCTTTGCAAATGTTTCCAGCCAGCTAAGAGTTCAGATTATTTTACACAGCAAAGCAATACAAGTATATGTATAAAATTCTGACTCAGAAAAACTCTTATAACTTTCTGCCGCCAGCGATTGGGAAACTAATTTTTTTGGCATTAAATAACATATTAAAAAAGGCACACGACAAAATATTCAAAACTTTCCCAATCGGTGGCGGCATATGTTTAAATTGGGTTTCAAAATTGCATTTAAAACGGTTTTGTTTTCAGAACTTCGAAAATCTGAAAGCATCATGTGCAACGAATTTGCGGATAAGATCTTTGTAAATTACGCCTACTAAACCAACAATTACAGTTTTTATAATATTTATGAATTTTGAACAGTTTTTAATTTCTTTCAAACTAGAATATTTCCAAAAATTTTCGAAATAAATTAAAGCGGAGAAACACGTCAAACTTAAATTTTTGTGCCCCATCATCATGATTTTTTATAAAATTCTTGACAATTTCATGCCGGACTCGATTTGATAGTTTCACTTAGAATAAGCCTACTTATCTAGTATTTGTAGTGTGCACAGTGCACACTACATACGTATATTACACCTAGTTGTATTTATCGGCTTATGTATAAAAAATATTTGCAACATATCTGGAATTTATTTGATCTTGTGATCTTGATCTTAATCTTGGATTTGATCTTGATCTTGATCTTTTATCTTTATCTTGATCTTTATCTTGTGGGGCACAAAAATTGATCTTCATCTTTTATCTTGATCTTGGAAAACTTTGATCTTGCCCACCTCTGAAATATTTACATCTCTTATGTAAAAATGCCACGAAAAAAATTTGCAATTTTGCAATATATTTATGTATGTGTGAGGAACGACTTTTAAGCTTCATTGCAAAAAGATCATTAACATGATTTTTTTGAATAAAATTTAGAGAACGATTTACATAAATACATACGCTTGCTTTGCATAATCGACATGACAGAAAAATATTTTTTTCTCTTTGTTCATTTCTTCATGCGTTTGCATTTTCCAATGCATTTGAGACAAATCAGTGGCACGGAATTTGATTCGGTCATCTGCTCAGTTTTGTCAACATTGTAACTTCAAACTTCAAACTTTTTCATTTTTTGAGTCCAGCATAATGATAATTCATATTTTGTATTTTTAAATTGTACAAAGATCGAGTACAATTTAATTAACTGCTGAATATAAGTTCAGTTAAAGGAAGATAATAATCATAATCATTAGTTTAATTCTGCTAAGATAGCCACAAAATTGGCGAAGTTTCTATACAGAAATTTATATATCTTTATTTACACTAAAATGTTTCTATAATAATTATTTTATTTCAGATTCGACATGGCCGACCAGCTCTGTCTCCTCTGTTTACGATCCTTTGACCTAGAAGAAGATACCAGCTCGGCGAATTTTCCCCCCGCAAAAATCCGGCTCGCGACATTGTGCCAATTGTTACGATCGAATTATAATGATAAAGCAGGTTATCCTCAATTTGAGGAGGACGAGACATGTCAGTTTTGTTCGAATTGTTATCCTCATGTCAGCCAAGTGGAAGAAAACCGGAAGCAGATAGTCCTCCTGGATGAAGAAATTGGGCGAAATGTTAACCAAATTCGAACCACAATTTTAAATTCTTCCTCTTTATCTCAAGAAGACGACAAAGTTATTGACATTCGAAATATTCTGCTTCGTCTGACGGGTTGGTTTTGATTTTGGATTAAATTTTATTTAAATGCTTATTTGATGGCAATTCACACAGTCCTTAATAACTTTGTAAAATCCGTAAATCTGTAAACTTACAAACTGTTACAAATTATGAGCTGAGGAAAATTTGCTTACAGATTTGTGTAAACTTACTTAGATCTAGGGTTTCTGTTTATTTTGTAAAGTTTTTAAATTATTTTACAAAAAATTATGGATTTTACAAAGTTACCAAAGACTGCTTGAATTGTGCATTTATTTTATGACTAATTAATGTCTTATAATTAGCGGTGGAGGAGGAAGAAGACGAAAATTATGCACTGGACGAGTTCCAAGTCAAACTTGAGCCGGAAGTTGACCATGATAATGACGTTGATCCATTGGAGGATGGGGATTTCCATTTCGACTATTCGTCAAATAACCACCTTGGTCTCAAAGAAGAAGAAGACGACGACGAAGATGACGATTCTGCCTTTTGTATAACACCTTGTGCTCAAAATGAGTCAAACGTCGTCCCCAAATCAAGGCGCCGAAAGGGCACAAAGCGCAAGACACCAACTACACTAAAAAGGTAGCAACTTTAACTTGTACATATTCGTTTACAAATTATTTGTTCAGTTATATGCAAAAACTGTTCTGTTCCTAGAAAAACTAGGCCAGAAAAACGAAAATCGGATCAAAATGTAGAAACAGCACCTCCAAAACGAATCAAACAAGAATTTCCTCCCACCCTGGAAGCGACACGATCCTCCTCACGCATCAAAAATTCCACCCATCCTCTAAAAGACGTTAAAGAAAAACTTCCAACGAAAAAACCTCTTCAAAAATCTGCCCCCGATTTCCAATCATTAAATAATACAAAGTCTGAAGACCCAGATTGGACAGAAAACAATTCCTCCACGCCCAAGAATGAATCTCAAGGTCCTAAAAAGTTCATCGCTCGCTCCTTACCGAGCGCTCATTCCTACCCTTGTCCCGTCCCCGGGTGCTCGATTTCCTCCACCTCCAGCTTGAGAAGGGAGACCCACTTGAAGCGGAGTCATGGAGGTGGGGCTCACTTCCCGTGTCCCATCTGCGCCCAGAAGTTCGCCCGCCATTACTCCGTGGCCATGCATATGGCGAAAAGTCACGAAAAGGGAGAGAAAACCTTGGCCTGTGACAAATGTGGGAAGAAATTCTGTCACATTCAGAATTTGGAGAGACATTTGAAGTTTCATGAAATCGATGAATATAAACCTCTGGTTTGCCATGTATGTGATTTACGCTTCGAAGACGACACCAAGCTTGGCCAACATTTAGTCGTGCACAGTTCGAGACGCTATACATGCAGCCACTGTGGGAAGGGATTCGGTGAGAAGAAACCTTTGGATAGGTAAGAAGTTATCTTTGGTTAAATAATTTGCATCTAACCATAACAACTAATTTTTTTTGTCTTTTTTTTGTTTTTTAGACACATTCGCCTCGAGCACACGGGAGAACGGCCGGAAAAATGTGACCAGTGCGAGGAGTCATTCGTTGACAAGGTAGCCCTCACTCGTCACGTGGCCTACGTCCACACCGAGACCAAAGAACACGTCTGTCACATCTGTGGGAAAGGGTATCACCTCTTAAATGTCTTGAAGATGCATCTCAAACGACATGACGAAACGAGAAAGCGTGCTTGCGAAACGTGCGGTGAAATGTTTTTAGATATGTCTACCTTGCAATCGCATCGAGTCAAAGTGCACAACGAGGCGCCTGTGATTTGTGACGAGTGGTAAATTTTAACCTGAATGTTATAATTTAAATCTCAAGGGATTTAAATAAAATTAAATATGGGTGTTTTTAAATCTAGTGGGAAAGCCTTTGGCTCTAGAAACTCGTTACGAAAACATAAGTTGACCCATTTGGAAGTGAAGCCACACCAATGCAGTGTAAGATTTATAGATAATTGGCATACTTACGACAAATTTCGCGTATTACGAAAATTGTGAAATTTTCATAATATCTGATATCTTGTAAAATGTTTGTTGGATTTTTGTTCCAAATTTTAAGTACCAGCAAATGTCATTTGTAACATGTCGCTAGATATTGGGCGTATTCATTACGACTACAAGTTCGCGTATTCGCGTCGTAACATAATTTTTAAAACAAATTGCTAACTAAAAATACTACTGTTCAGCCGATATTAATAGTCTGTAAAAATGCTGAAATGTTTCCTGGCAAATATTTCATAAACCAAATAACCTCTCAGAAAAATTTCCAAGGAATTTAGACTATTAATATTGGCTGAATAGTAGCGTTGCAGATGCACATGAATTTCCACGGCAAAACTTTTTGCCAATTTGCGAACTCGTAATGAATATCTCCAATTTGTTTGCTAAATGATTTGTAATACATAACGCATTGTCGTGAACACCCCCATTGTATTTTTACCTGTAAGAAATTTTAGTAATTACAAAACTGATACATATGTACAATTGAATTACATATTTTTTACTTTAGGTTTGTCAGGCTCGTTTCGGCGAGAAGAGACTACTCGACAGTCACATGAGGACGCACACGGGGGAACGGCCATATCCCTGCCCCCACTGCGAGATAGCGTTCAAGCAGAGAAAACATTTGGCCGTGCACGTCCAACGGTTCCACACGCCTGGCTACGTCGTCCCGATCCGCCATCCGTGCCCCCACTGCGACAAGGGCTACCCAACCAACTGCTACCTTCAGGCGCACATCCGTCAAGTCCACACGGGGGAGCGGCCCTTCGTCTGCGACCAGGCCGGGTGTGGAAAAGGGTTCGCGAAAAAGACGTCGCTCTACTTGCACTTGAAGGGTCATCATGGTCTCGTAATGGAGAAAAAGCGAATCCATGTACTGCCAAAAGGGAAGAGAAACGTGATTCCTTCCGTGGAGGAAAAATTGTGATTCTTTAAATTTACTTGTAATTGAAATAATCTTGTAAATGTATTGATTTATTACACGTTTTCGTTTTGCATATGTATGTATGTATGTAATAATAATAAATGTTTGTACTGGTTTCCACCAAGATTATTTGACTTATCACTCTGTTTATAAGATTACGACAAAAGTTAAATACCTACCAAATAAATTTTCATTTTTATGGTTTGCATAACAATGAATGAAACGAACAAACTGCATATTCAAAACAGCGCAATAATTTTTTTTAACGAAATTTTTGTCAGGAAGGTACAACGGTACGGGCTAATTATTTTTTACTTCGAATTGCCCCCCCCCCCCCTGCCGCCCAATCTGGAGAAGCATTTTTTCAGGCTATCCGTATTAGTGTTTCGCCATTGTTTTTGATTACTTTTTATTATCTCAAAAATCAACTCTACGAATTAATAAACTCAATTGTTTGCGTCCCCGGAATTCCGGGGGCACAAAATTTTGTTTTTACTACTCAAATTTGACTCAACTTTTACGGTCCACGTTGATATTAAGCTTTTAAAATAAATCACTACGGATTATATTTGCACAACCACTAAAGAATTTTAATGCGTTGAATTACCCTTGCAAATAAAGCTCTTCAAAGGACACCTGGAGGGTTTAGTTTTATAATTAATTGCCCGTATTTTTCAGTTAAGCTCATTCTGAGGGTTATTGCCGCAGAAATGTCCAGTTATTTCCAGATCCGTCCTTATATTTCGCCACTAGGAGACCATAAATTTGGCCTGGGTGCAATTATGGTTGCAATTTAGGTACATATTTATATTATAAATTGCATCATTCGCATTATGATTGTGCGATTCTTATTGATCCTCAAGTAATCCTTTCAGGTAGGGAATTAGCGTGCTAATTGTTTGCCAAATTGTGATCTTGACAATCGTAATTGTTTGTTTCATAATATTTTATTGCTTTGTTTTTCGTTTTCCATTGTTATAAATGGTTACATAAAAATATGTTGCATACGAATTAAATATTTGCTACACATTGGTTACTAAATAGTCTATTTATCTCAGTCTCAAAGTCATTAGTCTGTTAATTTGGGTAAATCATGAACTAATTAACTACTACAAGGGTTACATGTAAGGCTACCAAAGGGTGGGGTTTGTTGAGACAATGTTCACTATCACTCTCCACAAGGCAAATATGGGCGAAATATGGGCGAATTATTGATCAAGGCGAATGAAATTATGGCCCCGATGAGAGATCCACCCTGCGTCACGGCGCCACACCAGAGCAGCCCACTTTTCCCGTTAGATTCGAACAGTAACGTCGCCACGGAGAGGCGACGTAGGTGAAAAGGGCGATTACGATGATCCAAACTGCAATCTAATAAGAAAAAAATCTCAATTTCCCCACTAAAAAATTCAAAACCTCAATCTACCCCCTCTACTCATAAATTTGCATATTTAACATCCACTTACAATCATAACTTCCCCCGTCCCCGTCCCCACGAGCGGCGGACTGGGACTTTCTAACGCCAAATAGCAGATCCACCCCGTAAAAAAGACCGACGCCCCGGCCGCGCCCAACGCCAACTTGAAGCTCCACACCGGCACGAACAGCGCCACGACGCAGACCACAGGATTGATCATGTTCGACAAGGCGACGGCCAAGTGGTACGGCACGTTCCCGTACGGCGTTCCCGAAAAGGATTGAATTGAAGGAAAGGCCCCAAATTCCCAGAAACAGATGTAGCCCTGGAGCATGAGCAAGTAGAGGAAGCTCGTTTTCGGCTGGCGGAGCAGGACTGAAAGCGGGGTGCAACCGGTGGGTGGGGCTTCTTCATTTTCCTCCAGCGTTTCGGACAGTGTAGGTAAGGGGGCGGGTTTTTGATGAGTACTTTTGGTCATCTCAATTGACCCCAGTGACCCACGGGGCATGATTTCCAGCATAGAGAGGCGTTTCGGACCCTCGTGTGGCGGTGGCGTCCCCTTCTCCCAACTTTCTGAGACTGTCGCTAAATTTAAGGATTTGTGCGCACTTTTCGCGCTTCCAATAGATCCGAGTGACCCCCGAGACATAATTTTGATCATGGAAAGGCGTTTCTCGTGTGGCGCTGGCGTCTCTTTCTCCAAATTTTCTGACACGGTCGCCAAGTTGAACGATTTATGTAAACTTTTAGCGCTTCCAATTGATCCGCGTGACCCACGCGACATAATTTTGATCATTGAGAGACGCCTAGGTTCAACTGTGAGATGGTCGTGGTCGTGGTATCGGGGCAGGCTGAGATTGTCATGGGGTGTTTCGATATCGAACTCTTCTTCGAGAACGGTTTGCGACACTTTTCGTGCATTTTTCGTCACCTCTTTTTTCGTCATGAACAGGGTATTCCGACCTGGGTTTTAATGGGTTGGGTTTTATTGGGTTTTAATGGGTTTTAATGGGTTGTAAATGAATAAAACCTACTGGGTTTTACCATGTTAAGTGGTTTTATTTGGGTTTTAATGGGTTTTATTGGGTTTTAATTGAGTTTTACCTTAAAACTAAATTCTAAAAGTTAAGTACATCTCCTATACGTTAGAAGACGTTATCTCAATTCATTCTAAAGCAGTTTATTTCATTACTATTCTAGTATATTAAAATTCGGAACAAATCAACAATTGACTCCATTATTTAGCATCACAGATTTCAAGTGTTATAAAACAAAAATAATTTCCGAATAGATAAAAATTCCTAATTATTTTTGTTAAGTTATTACTTAAAACTAATAAAACCCAATAAAACCCATTTAAACCCAATAAAACCCAATAAAACCCATTAAAACCCAAATAAAACCCAATTAACATGGTAAAACCCATTAAAACCCATGGGTTTTATAATTTTTGATTAAAACCCTGGGTTTTTCCGAACCCTGGCATGAGGACAAAGGCGACCAGACTGCCTAACACGAGGACGAAGAGGATGTAGAAAAAGACGTCGACGGAAAAGCGGGGCTGGGTTTGAGCGGGTTCAAGGCCGGGTTGTCCATCGGTCCGGTTTTGGCAGGCGGAGTCTCTTCCGACGCCTTGAATCAGGGCGACGGCTGAAGGGACGAGACCGCTCAGCCCTTCGCCGAGGAAGTACGAAGTGAGATACATTTCTTGAAATTGAGACATGAAAGGGAGGTAAAGGACGCGGCTGGAACAATCGACCAGGGCGAGGCAAGTGACGAGAGCTAAATAAAAATTAAGGGTAAAGTAAAACGGGGCTAAGATGAGAATTTGTAACAAAGTTTTTACACTTTGCGTAACCAACATCATTTTCGAAGTCACCCTTATCAAATAATTTGAACATTAACTAGCCATACCCACACCAATTATTAGAACAGTAGAGTCGCCATCATTTACATATTTATAAAAAACTTGATGACATAATCGTTCGAGATATGTAAAAAAAAATCCACTTTGATAAGTACTACACTAAATTCAGTTTTATTTTAACCGAAAGATAGACATATATGTTGGGTATGAGAGAAGGTAGATCAAATTATTTTTAAAAACTCATCAGAAATCAAGATTGTGTGAAAAAAAATTAACTAGTGTCCTGTCAATTTTACTTTTATGTACATATGGATCGCTGGGCTTCCAAAAATGAGCTGAAATTAATTCTTAATTTTTTCAGGGTCCATTAATTTTTTCAGCAATTTTTTAATTCCAGAAAATGAGCATAGAAAAGGAGCATCCTTAGTAGAACCAATATTGCATAAAATATGTGTGGTTTCGGACAAACACCCCTATTGCAAAATTTCATTGGCTAATTTTGCCAATTCTAACACCACCTAATTTTAAATTTTAACTTTCAACAAAACCAGTGCAAAACTAGATTAGAGTCACATAAAAGTGACCCAATACTATAACAACGGAGGATTAATAACCCACCCCTTCAGATTGTCGTGAGAATGTTTAATAATTATTCTCCAAAAATTAAAAGACTTATGTAATTAAAAATAAAATCTACAAAATACATAATTACTAAATAATTCATTAAAAAACGAATTCTCACCTAACAAGGCCGTCGATCGTTCCACCCCTCCCACGGGTGTCGTCTCCTCCCACAAATTCGCCAGCAAAACCGTGGTCACGAGACCAATCAGCATCACGACGTAGATTGCCCTCTTCTCCGTCACAATGTTGGGGGCCATCGAGTTGAGAAAAATGCACGAGAGTGGCCCCACATTCGCCAGCTGGACCATGACGGAGAGATACGACCCGATATTCCACCCCTCCGCAGGGCCAAGGCGAGCAGGGGCAACTGGACGAATAATCCTGCAAAACACGTTGCACAATTAGCACATATTTAGTCGCATTTTTTGTTCAACTTGCTCACCATTAATCGTAAGCCATGTCCCGATTCCGAAAAATACGGCTAAAATGTCGATATGATAGACGCGCTTGGGTTTAGTGGTGGGGGTTGGATCAAGGGCGTTGTTAATTTGATTCGCCATGGTTGAATTGAACTAGGGGGAAATTTGAGATAGATAATTGCGAAAATTAACTTGTGTCCTGTCGTGCAGGAGAAAGTGAAGTGGCGAAAAGTCACGGGAGTCAAGATGGGTATAGGTGGACATGCTTGACTTGCATAATTTGTGACGCACGGCTTGAATTATGCAAAAATAAGGGGATTTGTCCAATCCAATCCAAATTGGAATTGGTGCAGGTTAAGTGAACGGATTAGGTTGGGGGTTAACTACAAAAATCCAGATTTTACTGGTAAATGGATCCAGATTCGGCTGGAGGTGAGATAAGCTTGCAGAATGCAGACTGGGGACGATTGCGATTTACTTATGTATGTATCTGTAATTGGTGAATTGATATAGCGAGTTAGAGAACAAGGGGAGATGTGAGATTTATGCAGTATGTAAATTAATTTTTAGGCAGGTGTATTTATTTCAGCCCGATTTGTCACATTTCTAATTCCAAACATTGATTAAGAATACATTTATGTCAGAAAAATTGTATATTTCAAATTTCAATTCATGCCCATCATGCAATGCAAGTACATGCATGTATGTATGTAACTTAAATTACAATAGCGTGATCATTACATAAGTACAAGAACCACTCCATGGTGCAATTTCGCAACCAATGTGAAGTCGATAAGTT